CCTTTGACACGTTTCCAATCAACCAAACCAACCTAATCTAACTCTATTCAGTCTTTCCTTGAAACATGATCTTAGTATGTGTATGGCAATATAATCAAATCCATATGCTTGAAGTTTCCTCAGTACAAGTGTATGCTGCGAACAATCATATGCTTTTGATGCTTTTGACAGATCCGTTGATAAGATCCCTTTACTCAAATTCCAATCTTGTGACAATTTCCAGTCTTCTACTAATCGTATCATGGTTGTTTCAGAGGAATGGGTGTTGCGATGTGCAGTTGAGTATGGTGAAAGTACAGTGTCATAATGTTGACCAATTTGTTTACACATCGACTGTTCAAATACTTTGCCAACTGAATCCAGCACTGTTACCGGTCTGTAGTTCTTAACATCAGATTTGTTACCCTTTTTATACATGGGGACCCACTCACCACTTTTCCATGCTTTGGGCCAACTTCTCAAATAAACACTGGTGTTAAAAAGCTTGGTCATGGATGGTGCAATGCCAGGCACGGCTAATTTCAAGAGTTTTGGAGAAAATAAACTTGGACCATTTGCCTTTGACACGTTTAGTTTATCCAACAGTTCTTTCACTTCAATCTCATTCAATTCTTCTGCCGATAACACTCCCGTGTTCCTTTCACTTTGCAATCCTTTAGCATTTTGCAATTATATATGCAATTACTCACAGCAACTTCTGAAGAGAAAATAACCTTTCTGATTCAATGATACATGAGCAGTACCTGATGGTGTAACAGTTCTAATGTAGACAGCTCCAGCATAAAAAAAAATAGTAAGTGTTCTGTGAGGCATCGCAGAAGGCATGAATTTCTTTCTCCATTGGATCTGGCAATGAAGAGAAATAGCGTTGAAGAACCTCTACCTGTTCCATCTTTTTCATACCTTGAAGCCGCTTGCTCCATTTTGTTTGAATGGATAAGGGTAAGACATCGTCCCAGCCGGACTGATCTTTCCATAGTTCTTTTACCAGTAAATGGACTCTATAGTCCAAAAGGATTGTAAACCTTAGCCACGAGACTAACAGGTTCTCTTTTAGTTCCACTTTTGAGCTCATGTTCAGCAAACTTGAAATGAAGGGTGTCCGACCTTGGATTCCAGCTTATGCCAAGTGCTTTCTGAAACTGTTTGCCATCTTTGAATTCAATTTTTGTCTCCATTGATCTTTGATAGCCAGGAATCTCTTTTGTCACCTCTTCTGAATTACTTGCCCACAGTTGAAAGCCCCTGTGAGCCATAAGCTGTGTCAAACCATGATATAAGCTAATGACTGTCATCTGATTTGTCTCCTGAGCAAAGGTCGTCAACATAGAAGTGGTCTTTGACTGTCTCGGCAGGTAGAGGGAATTTCTCTTTTTTCTTCTCCGTGTGATGTCTTGTTGTTGCTATTGCCAAAAAGGGACATGATTTTGCTCCAAAAAGTAGAGTCACTATTCGGATGATTCATCGCAGTGGAGCACCCAAGTCCAGGTTGTGCCAAAGATAAATGAAGACATCGCGATCTTCCTCTTTGAGTTTCACTTGCAGGTACATTTTCCAAATGTCAGCCATAATCACAACGCGATGCTCTCTGAGACGGGGGAAGTAACAAGTTCTGTCAGTAATGCTGGTCCTGTTTCTAAGTAATCATTTAATGAAACATCTTTTTCAGTTTTTGCTGATGCGTCAAACACTATTCGATACTCAGTTGTTTCTCATTCTGGTCTGATTATGTTATGATGAGGCACATGATAAATGGGACGGCCATCCTTTTGGGTAATTTCTTTGCATGGACGTTCTTCTGAACTACCTTCTGTTTCGTACTTTTGTATTGCTTGCTGGTATTCCTGAATGATTTAATTTGAATATTTGATTTGAATATTAGTAAGTAAGTAAAGACTTTATTTAATGAGAGTTAGCACGAAATAGCCGGGGCTAATAAACTTGTGGCCCTCTAAATAATAAATAAATAAATAATAAAATAATAAATGAGTATGCTAAGCTATAAAAAATACAAGGTAAAAACCAAAGAATAGTCAGATACTATAGAATCTACTAAATTATTTAAAAGATAAAATATAGCATTATAATCATCTCACAATTCGTCAAGTTACTTAAATAGAAAAATGATCAAGATTCTGCTGCTGTTTAAAAAATTCATTCCACAATGCTTTTTTAAAAGAGTCAACCGAGTCCCTTTGCCTTGCAGGCAAAGATAAGCTGTTCCATGCTTTGCAAGTTGTTACGGTAACAGTTCTGCCTCCTTCTCTTTCGCGATTATACCTCGGAGAGGTTAGGTTAAACAGTACCTGGTTTGTCTACTGTCGATGTTACTGTTTAATTTAAGTAGATCGTTTAGATAAACAGGGACGTCATCTTGTAATCGCTTATAAGCAATGACACATTTAGGTATAGAAGCGTCTTTATAAAAAGGCAACCATTTCAGCCGATTGAACAAGGGAACTGATGATGCTAGAGGGGGGGCATTGAGGATTACTCTAGCTGCTCGTTTTTGGAGCTTCAGGACCCGCCCAAGGCTTTTTTAGTGCACAGGACACTTGCATAATTAATCACTGGCCTGATCAAAGCATTGTAATAAAGTAATCTTTGTTTAAGGGGCAGATAATTCATAATTTTCTTTAACTTAGCCGATGTGCTGTGAAACTTTCTTACAAACAGTCGTAATATGCTCAGAGAAAGATAGCTGTTCATCAATCTCAAGACCCATTAGCTTAACATTCATAACGTTAGTTAACAAACTGCGATTGCAAGTAATCTCAGGGATATTGTCTATTTTGGTCGAGAGTCGCTTTCCCTTCACGGTGAGGACCTTGGTCTTTTTTTTTTTAATGTTCTTATCCAAGTTACATAATGTAAACGTTCTTATCCAAGTTACATAATTTGAATACATTTCATTCCATAAATATTTCAGAACAAACCCCTCAAGTACAGCCTGAAATTCCTCCATATCCTTCAGATTTTGGGTTTGAACCACCCGCATAGGTAGTACTGGGCTACATGTACCGATAGCAGACTAATAAGGCTGAACTGACCTGGAAAACGTTACATAATGTGAATACATTCCATTCCATAAATATTTCAGAACAAACCCCTCAAGTACAGCCTGAAATTCCTCCATATCCTTCAGATCTTGAACCACCCGCAGAGGTAGTACTGGGCTACATGTACCGATAGCAGACTAATAAGGCTGAACTGACCTGAATAACGTGACAGTTAAATGATGCCAGATGAGAGTGATTTTGCCTGGCGACTGTGAATTATGTTTTAATTGGTGCAAGTAAATAATTTTCTGTTAAGGTGGATGATAATTCATAATGGTAAATGGCGTCATATTATTAATAGTGAATGATGTAAAATGATGTAACAAATAATGTTTAGTGACAGTGATTGATGCCTTATGATTGTGAATGACAGAAAGATAACTACGGATTGAAAATTCTGTCTCACAACAAAGGAAAATGTGAAACATGGTGATTGATGTGTAGTTATGGTAAATGTTTTCTTACTACAGCAATGTCCAATAATGTTAGATAATATCTATATCAAGAGATGATGATGTTACTATTAATTTTAGTATGTATTTTTTTATTTTAGTCATGAAATAAATACAAATGCTTAAGGCTTTGAAGGAAAGATTTCCCAACATGTTTAGCAGACCCATAAAGGCCTTCTTGCTGAACTTTAGGGGAGAGCCTTTTACTCTTTTGACACACGGCTCTAGTTGTTTTTCATTAGCGGTAACGATGTAAAATTACAATGTAGTATTTTTTTTTTTACAACCATAATCCTGGTTATAGAATCATCAGATTTAATTGAGGAGATTTAATTTATTGAACGTGATATAAATTTACTGCCATGTGGACAAGATATTGAATTTAAAGCACATAAATGACATTCCTCTCTGAGTACATAGTTGTACTGACCAAACATGTCATAATAAAATACCGAAAGTGAGATTTTAGGGAAGGATTATTGGTTGATGAAATGTTTCGGAAAAGAAGATGGAGAAGGCAATTACTGTTAACACCTACAGGATTGAAGGAATGTTTTTGTGGGAGTTAAATATCAACATTTTTCTCTACTGTAAACATTAGAGGATGAAGAAATTAGGCATTATAGGAGTTGCTCTACCAGTGTCAGAAATTTCATGCAAAGTTATGGGAGCTGTTATTATTACTGTTACTGCAACTTTAAGGAAACACTACATCTGCTGAAGTGTCCGGACAATGATTGAGATATCTTGCTGTAAATGAATGTTCAGGGCTCGAAACAGTAACAGTAATGACATCCGTGGCATTACAGTTGATAATGAAGAGATCAAAGTAGGTTCGTTCTGAGACTACCTGACTGGTTTTTTAAAAGACGATCTCTCTCTAACAAACTTTCTTAAACTTAAAGAAGATTATGGAACTTGCTCTGGCCTAACAGTTATAACCATGAAAAGTCTGAGCTTTTGCTTCAAGGTAACTGAGTCTATACCGTACAAGGAACCACTCTGAACAACATAGAAATTAAACGATCTTTTAAAATCTTGGATGTACATTTTACCTCACATTCGAGCAAAACAAAAGTTAAACATCAATGAATTAATAAGCTCCATTCAACTGAAGCTACGAATCTGGAGGTGAAGGGACTTGACATGGACGATAGAAGAATTAAAAGCCCCACATTTAAATTCCATAACTGAAACACAAAGAGAACTTTAAATTTGCTGCAAGAACTGGCGAATAATCAACCGAGTGGCTGGAAAACAATCCTTTTGATTATCTGAAACTTGTTGGAAGCACAGGCAGCCCAAGTTCGAAAAATGAGCAGCAGCGACCATCGGCATTGTTGCATAACATTCGAAATATAAGGATTTGTATGGGGAAAAAAACCTATCATTTCTGTGACCTACGAAAATGAAAGGATTTCAATATAAAACAGCTTACCTTAAATAAAATGTGTGTTACGTCTCTCCTGTGTGGTCCATGGGCCGATTTATGGCTGTTTTATCACAGGCGGCCCAAGCTCACTTCAGGAACGCGGACGTGACTCTTGCTTGCGAGTGGTGTTGTGTTACAAACGGTTATTTACAAAGGCTTGTATGGGATGTAAACGGTTTTTCTTAAAAGAGAGAAAAAATGTTATGTTTTTAAATAAAATCTACTTACCCTATTGCCTTGTTTTATTTTTTGTTTACCCACGTCTCAGGCCGTTTTGAGGCATTTTCGGCGAGTTAGCGCTTTTTTGGTGTTCCACTGCTAAGAGAAAGGCAAGGCTGAACAGTAATTTCCGAAGTGTCTGCCTTTCGAGGCGAATAATTCCGGTGGAAAATTACCCCCGCGCTCAATTCCTCCAGAAATTCAAAGCAGAGATGTTGCAGTTCAGGTCCATTCACTCGATTCGCAATTCCTCCTACAGATTGTTCACCAGCGATGCTTTTTTCTCTTGCTCGATCAGCTTCTGAATTTCGAACTAGGCTCTTCCAAACTGCCGTTCACCGATCACATAGTATTGCAGGTAACTAAAATAACCCCGGCGAGGGTAGCCAACGGCCTGCAGTCGACAAACAAACCCATTAGTTAGCTCCTAATGCGATCTTGACAATGTCTCTCGAGGTGACCCGGGGAACTGTCACGTTTGTTTGTCAACTGCAGGCCGCTGGCTACCCTCGCCGCGCTTATTTTAGTTACACATACTATGAGATCGGTGAATGGGTCCACTGCAGTTTGGAAGAGCCTAGACAAATGTTGCTTGTATTACTTGATCTTGTGTGAATTGTTTGCTGTTACAAGGAGTCACGCGAGCTGACCAAGATGGATGGGCATGTGTTGAATGTACTCCGTAAAGTTTTTCTTAGCCTCTTCTTTCGTAAATCGAATGTTTTGTTGTTTTCCTTGCCTTTGCTTATGTGTTTCGTTTCTCTTCATAATCATTATTTACTTACTTTGCGTCATGTTATTTTATTCTCTTTATTGTTTCGTAGTGTCTTTATTGTTGTTTAGTCCACCCAATAGATGAACCTTATCTTGTAAATATTTCCTTTCTCCCTGCGTCGATTAGTTTATAAGCTATTTGTGGGTGAGAATATAAACTAATCAGTTGTATGCTGAGTCTCAATCTCAATATCTCAATTTGTTGTTGTTGTTGTTTAGTAAGAAGAACAATATTGTTTGTTCATGCGTGTATTAGAGGCTTTCCTGCACTTTATATCTTTGATGTGCTGAGAAAGTAACCGATTGCAGACTTTTCTTGATGGTTGCTGACTTTGTTTCTAGGAATGGCCTTATCTTGGTTATGGAAACCAGCCACCTCAAGGTGAATTGTGCCCAGCAATATTATGTATTTGCATCCAAGTATTTGTAGGATGGCACCATTTCGATACAACTTCCAGAATGTTTTGTTTTCATTTTTAAGTTAGGTCTACAATTATGTAAAGTGCACTGGTATTTTTAACATACCCAAAGTGAATACTGGTAATAGTGTTAAAATGATAATTAATGTGGGTAATGAGGACAAACAAGCAAAAGAAAGAAAGGCCTAGGCAATGGCCAATTTTCAGCTATTTTTGTTTTTTTCAACTTTAAGGTAATTCCTTTGAAAAGGACTGTACTATCCACATTTTTTTCAAACCTGGCACAATTGGCAGCCATATATAGAAAAATAAAAACTGCACTAAAATGATAGGGTCACCGAGCTTGTTTTCGCCTTGTATGCCTGTAATTCTAAGTGTTTTTTCCTGCTTGGGCGTAAAATGTTCAAAACTTGATCATGAACAACCGTAAAATAATTCATATTTCTTACCAAAAACTATGATCTTTTCTATAACCTGGAGCCTGCTTGTTTGTCGGGTTATAATTTTTCAGTAAAATGACTTCAAAGTACCCAATCTTACAAAAGGTGAGAAAAATAGACAGTTTTAACATTATCTCATACTCTTCCTCTGTGGCGCCAAATGGGAAGTTTCACATCATTCATATCTAAATGACACAACTTTTACTATCCAGATTTTTTTCTACTTAAAATATATTTCCTTGCATCCATAACGAGTAAAAAGCACCAGTAAAAATTGGGGGTCACCGTGTTTGTTTGTCATAGTAAGATAATAATAGGAATATTTTGCCTTCAAATGATCATTTTGTGGAAAAGGACTGGAACAAGTTTCAAGACCAGCACCTTTTTAGCAGGGAAGATTTATCACAATCTCTATTAAAACCATGCGGACTACAAAAGGGTCCTTTGTTACCTCTCTTTAGGCTTTGATGTTTCAGTGTTATTCTTCAGTGTTATGTTTCAGTGTTATGCGCAGTAGGTGATGTGCAGTACAAAACAAGGACATCACCTTAAACAACAAAACATCAAGGAAGGCCAGAAGCATAGCGCATTTCTTGGGCTGGATTATAAAATGAGTCCTTGACCCAAAATATTTTCTGTCATCATTATTGGTTTCTGTGGTAAACCAGTGACCCCTCACTTTCCTTTGGGTAAGAGCTTTTGGCGTTAGCAAAGAAAACAGTTTTTATTTTAAAAAAATGTACACAGGAGATTTTTTTAAAAGTGGAAATACCCAACATTTGTGTACAGTGGGAATTTCGTGTACTTACAATGCATGGTCACTTGTGTATGAATGTTTGTGATCTATAATTCTACGAGTGGAAATGGGCAAATGTCGATCCTCCACAGTTATGAATTTCGAGTTTTCATCAATTTCAAAATTGTTTGCTTTTTGGCTTCTGTCTGTAGGTCTGTCCATCTGATCTGATTGGTCATTTTTTTTACATTTGTATTTAACTGTGGCAAGTTGTGTGCTATTGAAAAAGTTATCCAGAAGACACACTTAAAAGTGTTATAATATTTCAATTATTTTCAGTCACTATAAAAGTGAAACTGGGTAATCTGTCAGACAATGTAGACAGGTTTTGTATTGTCTCAAATGTCTGCATATGAACTAAGGTTCTTCATTCATTTTAACGTAGATGATACATGTGCTACGGATGCTGCTGATGAAGGATCACAAGCAGCCTCCCTTGTCACAGAAAAGGAAATGCATATCTTCATTGAAAAGGTGGAGAATTTCAGCACACTCAGCAGCAGCAGTTTGTCAAGTGCATCTACAATAACAAGATGTTTGAGTCCTATTGGAGACCCTAAGGAGCAAACAGTTGCTTTTGATGAATCTACTACTGACTGCACAAGTAATTTAAACAAGAAGCCAGTCAAAGAAAGTATTGAAGTACATGAGTCTTCAAGGCTTTTCAATACTAACGTTCAGACTGAGCAGGTTCTGGGAAATGAGAACAACGTGTTTGATTCCAGTACAAGGAAAACTAAAAGGCATAAAGTGGGAGATGAAAAAGACAACTGTGTTACTAGTCTCTGTGAAAGCCCAACAACAAAAACGATAGCAGGGTTAGATGAACATTATGACAAGTGGAATAAGCTACTGTTGTATGAAGGTAAGTGGAAGTAGCAAAAATATTTGAGGCTTTTGGAGTACAGTATATGGTCCTTGGTCCGGATGAAAAAGACGTAAATGAGTATTTCTTATCTTAGAAGAAGAGAAGTGAGCTGAAATTTGTCCTGTAAGTTGCCGTAACATTTCACTACCTTGTGACAAACTGACAGCTTCTGAGCTTTGCGAAAAATCCTTAATCATAGAAAATGACCGCTCCTTTTGAAGGCCCCTGGTCCAGTCACTTTGGCCACTTTGTAAGCGGGCATCAAAAGTGCGCAAAAAGAAACGTTCCAAGCACCATCTGATCTAAGTTCCTGTATATCTTCTATAGGCATCATTTAAACTTCAAAAACAAAATGATTTTCTGCAGAAAGAGCTAAAGTTTGGTCTCTTGAATAAATTATTTTTGCTTTTTTGCAAATGTGTGTCGTGCAGTTACAATGCGATGTCGGCAAAATCGCCACCGTTTTAAATGAATTCAATCGAAGTTTAGAGAAAGGAAAAATTTGTCATTGCTTGTTTATGTCCTCAAGGAAAACCTCGGAAATTTTATGCCTTAGTTGTGCCGCGACGAAGAAATGTGACCAAAAAGAGCTCCCTAATAAAACCAATTGAATGGGTATAAGCTTCATTTTATGGCCTTCTATAGCATTACTTAAACATAGGCACGTTTAACGTGCATGGGCAATTTTGAGTGCTTCAGTGTAACTATACCAAGAATTATGAATCTACCTTTTTCATCCTATATATAGGCTGATTTTTTGTGCGAAATTGGTTATTGCTGTAAAGGAATGAAAACGCGAAATTCTCAGCTGAGTCAATTCTCATGCTGTATATTCACTTTCCTCTGTCTTTCCTTGATACAATCATCTGGTGCAAGTTAAGCAAGTTGTTACAGTACAATAAATGTCAACTCACCAAACGTTGATTAGAAGGAAAACCCATCAAATATCAAATAGCTACGAAATGTCAGGAATTTTATCGTTGTGGTAGATGGTTACATCATCATAATTCATGAGGATTTCTTGCTTCTTAAAAGACGAGTCTTTACTTAAGGCATTGGTTTATACAAAATGAAACAGGTCTTCATACGTTCAAGTTACTATTATTGTTGTGAAAAGCCAATCTGCATGAGATGTACAGTCACACAGTTCGCACGTGAAGATGTCGGACTTTGCGCCTTTTACAATTTGTACGTGAAAGCACGAATGTTGTTTAGGAATTTAATTTGTACAAGAGAGAATAAAGCACGTTTCCGGAATTAACTCGGCATAGCTTTAAAAAAAATCAGCTCTTGTAACACAATTACGTTGCATACTTCCATGTTAAAGTCAATCTCTAAATACCAATTTTAAACGTTTCATTTGAAAAATATGATTTTTTTATACTTCACTTTGAAGTCACATACGCTGTGCCGTTTGCGATAGCCAGATTAGGTCATAAGGCTGCATCACTACTCAGCGTTTGAATCATGAAGATATTTAAATGTTATGCTTTTGCCGTAATAAAACTGACAACAAAATTGTAAAGAACCAAAATGGTGCTCTCAAAGTGCCCTTGTTTGACCTTCAGCGCAGCAATGTCATGTTTAGATGCCAAAATCTCATTGGTTTTGAAATAGAGCAACATTTCAGAAACATTTCTGATATTCATGGTTTTCCGAGTTTTTTTAGTTAGAATATAGTACAAATACAACCGCAATTCAGTGGGAAATAATAGATTATAGCCCATGAGCAGGGCCATTAACACCACACACAATGTGGGTAGTAAATCTGGGGCAGACCATGCAAATCAAGGAACAAATGTTTCCAAAAAATAGTAAACTTATGTTCAGAGTCGTGATTATATAGCTCACTGGCTTTAACATCTAATAGTTTACCTTCTTGTGATTAGAACCTGCCGTTTGTGTTTGGTGGCGGTGGACTCGTGGTGTTTGTATATCTTTAATCCCCCGTCTTAGGTAAAGGTTAGCACCAATGGCTTTGCGATAGATAGGCGGTAAAGTAGGCGTCATGGGCCAAATCCAGTAATAGAGTGATTATTTAGGGGGACTTTGGCCATTGTGGGTGGACTCCAAGGTCCTTCAACACAGTTAATTGTTGGGTTGAGATGTTAACATTCTGGGTTCCCAAGGGAGCTGTCTGTTGGGACTTTGGTGGTCTTAACTGGCGCTGTGGTCCAGTCGACACATTCTACTCAGTTGAAGCCCGTGCAATCAGTTTCGTGGTAATGACATCACTGTTGGGAGACACAGCATCAACTGGCTCATTTCCACTCGGAGTGGTAGTATCTTCAGGGGCTTTTCTCCACTTGGAAGAAATTCATCCAATTCTGGTAGATTAGTGTTAGTAGTTTAAGTTTAAGTTTAATAATTCTTTTTACCAATGTCAAAATAAAAAAATATATATACATATATAAAAGTACAATAGGTAAAGGAAAGCAATAGGAGGAAACTGAATTCCCATATAAAAACTGCCCTCCAAAACGAAAAGATAAAACAATTAAGAATAGAAAACTAATGCATAACTATACATCACGTGATACTAAGAGAAAAAAAAACAACAACTAAATAAACTACTTAGATATTAAATAAAAAGGAAAATCCACATTTAGTAGGAAATAATAAACATATGACTATTTACAAAGATAATTTAGTAATAAAGTTTTAAAAGAGTTCAAGCTGGAAGCAGACATAACGAAGTTTGGTAAAGAGTTCCAGTCATTAACGTAACGATTAAAAAATGAAAATTTAAAATAGTTTGTCCTTGCTGCTCTAGGCCTGATTTGAAAGTCATGTTTTCTTCTAGTTCTTGTCGGGCCAGTCAGATCCACGTATGTGGTATAATCAATATCAGAGTAGCCATGAATTATCTTGTAAAGTTGAACCAAGCAAAGGTATTTTCTTCTAAGCTCCAATGTTGACCAGTTTAGTTCAGTGAGCCTTTTAGTGTAAGAATTATGAGATCCACATATCAATCGAGTAGCACGACGCTGAATGGATTCAATACTGTGTATGTGTTTAACCAAATATGGATTCCACACTGGGCAGGCATATTCCAGAATAGGACGAACTAAAGCGATAAAAGCTGTTTTGATTGGCACAGGATCCTTAGATCCAAACGTTCTCCTTATTAGACCCAATACTCGATTTGCCTTACCAACAATGTAATTGATATGAGCGTCCCACCTTAAAGAAGATTCAATCCAAATGCCCAAGTGCTTATGTTTATCAACAGCCGACAGATTATTATCATTTAACACATACTGATGAACTAAAGGACAATTGGACTTGGTAACATGTAGAGCCTTACACTTTTCCGACTTCAGCTTGACCTTCCACAAGTCACACCAGGAGGCGGCAGACAAGAGGTCATCTTGAAACTCGACACAATCATCTACAGATGCGATCTTACGATAGAGTACACTGTCATCAGCAAAAAGCTCTGTGCTACAGCTTACACTAAGGGGGAAGTCATTTATATACAGCAGGAAAAGAAGTGGCCCTAATATACTCCCTTGAGGAACACCAGAGGACACCTCCATCCATTCTGATGAATGACCTCCAATAATGACTCTTTGTGTACAGTCTCACAGATAGTCACGAAACCAGGAAAACAAATGACCCCGAATGCCATAACACTGCAACTTATAAAGCAAGTGATGATGAGAAACCTTGTCAAAGGCTTTTGCAAAGTCCAGAAAGATCACGTCGACTGAGTCACCTTTCTCAAGAGAACTGTACCATGAGTGTAGCAGCTGAAGAAGTTGAGTGACACATGAACGAGCTTCTCTAAAACCATGCTGGCTCTCACTCAGCAGCCTATGATGTGTTAAGAACTTCATAATATGTTTATGGATGATACGCTCCAAACACTTCACTAAAATACTTGTAAGAGAAACTGGTCTATAATTTTCAGCCAAAGTTCTTTCACCAGATTTATGGATTGGAACAACATTGGCAGATTTCCGGACACTTAGTAACTTGCCATGATCCAATGAAAAATTGAACAACTGTGATATTGATGGTGCCAACTCAGCAGCACATTCCTTCAGAATTCTAGGTGAAATTGTATCAGGACCAATCGCCTTGTTTACATCAAGGGAACTAAGAACTTTATAAACATCAACCACTGAACATGACAAGTCATCAATGGTGCCCTCAGTGAAAGGTGTAAAATCCTCATAAGCCACCTCTCCAGTATGACCTGACCAGCTTGTAGAGGTTGTCTCTTGCGAATATTTCACCATTTCGATGCCTTATACATTGTCACTCTCTTTCTCTGATGACAACCTGCCACTTGTGTTTGGTGCAGTGGACTAGTGGTGGTTGTCCTCCTGCTCTGACTAACAGGTTTGAGTGCTGAACTTTCAATTTCCAGGGTGCTGCAAGGCAAAACTAAATTTGTATTGGACACCCTCACACACGTAAGTGGCTCATTCTTTGGTTTTACTCTGTCGTCTCCCATTCTTTCAACAACCCTGTAGATAATGTCCTCCCTACATGATTATAATTTTCCAGGGCCACCATGCTCTACTTAATTTCTAATCAGCACTCAATCTCTAGACTGACAAAGTTTGAAATCGACAGCAGCCTTCATTGCATTCTGCAACCTTTGCTGTTGCTGTTGCATGCTGTTGATATCACACAAACTTGGGAACCAGTGACTGTCCCATAATCCCTAAACATCTTTTCCCTGTTTGTTACATCTCTCAATGCATCTCTCACTTCTGAGTTGTGTTACTCTAGATGCTGTCTTGACATCAACTTACACAGAAATGCTGTCTTCAGCGGTAAGTCATCAACCTTGCATTCGTTTCATTTTTCCACTTGTAAAGCCATACAGAGTTCCTTATGGTAGGGCCAGCGGTCTTTTTGACACTTCTCAAAACCATATCTACTAATTGTACAAGCTCCACAATGATTAAATAATGAGTGACCACCACTATGTTTACCACAATAGACACAACTGGACTGGTCTACCTGCATCTGTTGCACGGGAGTGATGTCGGTCCTT